GCAGTTTTTAGAAAGTCTGAGATAGGGTGGTATGATTAGAATCTTCTCATAGATTCAAGCTCAGAATAGATACATATTCTCCCAATTGGTTTGCCTTAGAAATGAACTGAGATCGTTCTGTCGTTTTTGAGATTGTACTCAAGTACTGCATTTTGGAATTTTTTGTTGACCATGAGGGCTACTCCACTTCTAAGGAATCCTTGCCCACAGTAGTAGACATAATGGTCATCTGAATCAAATTCACCGATTCCTGTCCATTTTAGTTCACTGATTCCTAAAATGTCAATGTTCACTCTTACTGTCTCCTGTTTGATCACATCCAATTTACCTTGATTCATGGACCTAACATTCCAGGTTCCTATGAAATATTGCTCTTTACGGCATCGGACTTTACTTTCACCACCAGACACATACACAACTGAGTGTTGTTTCTGCTTTGACTCAGCCCCTTCATTCCTTCTGAAGCTATTTCTCCAGTCCTCCCCAGTGGCATATTGACACCTACTGACCTAGGAAGTTCATCTTTTAGTGTCATATCTTTTTGCCTATTCATACTGTTCATGGGGTTTGCAAGGCAAGAATACTGAATATACATGCTTATACTTTGGCCACTAGATGCAAAGAGACCCTGGATGGGAAAGACCCTAATGCTGGGAAAGATTGAGGGCAGGAGGAGAAGGGCATGGCAGAAGATGAGATGGTTGAATGGCACTGACTCAGTGGACATGAGTTTGAACTAACTCTGGGAGAGAGTGAAAAATAGGGAGGCCTGGCATGCTCTAGTCCATGGGGTCGCAAAGAGTCAAACACAACTTAGTGACCGAAAAGCAACTCCCAACTGACCAGTGTCATGACTTGGAAAAAATTCCAGAAACTTATCAACTGCCTCCCCCTACGTTATCATTCCAGTTCAGAGAAATTAGATGGGAGTGGAATCTTATATTAAATTAGTGGCTTGTCAACATTGCACAGTTAGTATCTTCTAATTTAACCATCAATCTTGAAAGACTGTTTTACCTACCAACGTGCATAAGTAATGAGGCAGTTGCTCAGATAACAGGGATACATCCTATGTGAAACTTAAACTCCTTCATATGTTTTCCCATCACATCCTTATACTTCCTCCTTCATAACATTCATCACACTTGATAATATTTATTTATGTGCTTTCCACACTAAATTATAAGCTCAGTACCAGCAGGCACTTTATCTTTCTTGGTGGTAACCATATCTCCAGCATCTAATGTACTACCTAATACAGGGGAGCTCCATCAATATTTGTGATACTGAAAACTATAGTGAACACTTTGCTTTTCGTGGCAAGTGTACCATTGATTACCTTATATTGGGAATAATACTATCACCCAAGATTCTAGAAAAGCTTCAAACTTAAAAAGAAAAGCAAAACAAAACAATTTTAGGCAGCTAACAAAGAAACTTCCAGTACAGGTTTTTATTCCCCCTCCCCCAACCTCACCAAAAATGGTTGAGATAAGTTTGTGACTTGTGTTTAAGAGAACCCCATGCAAAATAGAAAAGGAAAGATTTGTTTGTTTAGAAATGGGGCCTTTTTGACCTTATGTGACAGAATCAAAGGAGAAGGGAGAGGAGTCAGAAAAAAAAAAAAAAAAAAACAAAGAAACCAAGGGGGAAGAAAATGCAGAAGGCATATAATGTAAGAAACAGCAACAGGAACAACAAAAAGAGTGTGCCTGGTACTGGGAAACAGAACTAGTAACAGGCAAAGGGAAAAAATCGACTGTGTCCTCTGCCAAGGAAGAGGAGGCATCAGGTCCACAAGCCTTAAGGGATTTCAGAGGCAAGGTAGCCGACGGTTCTAGTGCTAATGCTAGACCGTAATGGAGGACTAACAGAAGCCATTCCACCTGCTGGCACACACCACCTCACCACCTGATCTCATTACAGAGTGTGCGTAAGAGTCTGAGATGAGGGCTGGCATTCTCTATATTATCATCATTTAATGAAGATGATGGAAGTATCACTGGTTAGTACTCTTCTATCAAGTCCAAGCCCTAGAAGAATTTTTAACCCATGATTCCAGACATCAAAAATTGTATCATCTCTCTTGTTTTTAAAAAGAGAAACTGCCATTAATTTGTAAGCTCACCAGCAATTTCTTATGCTCCTGTTTTGCTCATTAGAAAAGGTTGCTTAAAATCTACTCTGTGGTCTGCCAAAGCAGAAATGGCTTCTGTGATTATTTTAACTTGAATTTAGAAAATAAATAAACATATTTTCTTCCTCTTAGATAACTGTACATTCAGGTGCAGTTTCAGTTGCTTGATATGTGGGAGCTAATTATGCTAACTCATACAACTATTTTTTTTCTAAGAAGATCAAGGCTTCATTCCAGTTGAGAACCATGGTAACATTCAGAATACTCTTTAAAAACATGAAAAGAAATTTTTTGTTCAGAACAACAAAAATTATAATCACAGAAAGCAAACTGTTATAGGTCTTGATAAAATTGCTAACGAGGACAGAAAAGGAAATTTTCTTTTTGCCAATCATGCCCTCTAGTGGAATGATTGACAACAGAAAAGAGCTTGCTTTTGGAGAGTGGAGCTTATCCTTAATTTGCTGCATAGTAGAGCATTTGTACAGAGGCAGATTTATATACATTTTTCTTCAAACATCCCTAGAGCATAAATATAATGAACTATTGATTATGCTACTTGGCATTGTGCATTTCAATAAATTCTCTCATCTGAAATAATGCATTGTGCAAGAACTGTGTGCACTGGCTACACAGTTTAGCCATGGTGAAGGATTGTAACCTCAAAACATGTACACTGTGCCAGAAAAAAGATATACAGCTACAGTGACAGCATTGATTTATTCTCCATCCTGTCAATGGCAAGCAGACTAAAGGAGGGATACCAATTTACAAACTTAGGTTTCTGTATAATCAGTTTATGAAGCCAGATTATAAAAATTTCCACTGTGTGTTCAGTTAGGAGGTAAGTGACCTGGTGACTATTTTCCAAGACAACAAAAAGAAAAAGATGTTACTGTACTCAGCGCTGTTAGCAGCTGTATTGACATAATTGAGAAAAAAAAATATTTTTTCTCCCTGTAACAGTCAAATTAATCCAAAACATACCTGTAACGTTAAGATTTTTAATATCCCCTTGGAGAATAAAGGAGAAGAACATTCATAGGAACGTACTGAGTTTATATGATTTGGGAAACTCACATACAGAAAAATCACAAAGTTGGATTCCTTTTCTAACCTTCAGAAACTATGATTTAGGGGGCACAAGAGGAGTTCCATCCCTTTGGTTATAAGATTCACTCATTAGAATAGTTAGCACTCTTGAAAATAGCAGGAGGAAATGTGCATGAAAAAGTTTTATATATTTACCCCATGCCTGGAACCTGAAGATCAATACCTTCCACTGTCCTCATTATAGAGAAAAAGCTTCCTAGGTTTATTTACTTGTTCAGAGTCTAAAGCTCATCATATATAAAGGAAGTCTTCTTCATTGTAGAGGTTGTGAATACTGCATGTCAAAACAGGTAAATGATGTACTTTTTGAAAATTTCTATTTTGCTTATAGTTCAACATCTCCAACTTTTATGAGAGTCTGCAGGGTTTTTCAGATATACAACTCTGATGTTAGCTCTACTGTGAAAAGCAAGCTCAATTTGATTGCAGTTGTTTATTATCCAATTATCCTGGCCTCTTTGCAAAAAAGGGTGTTTATAATCAGCTAATTTGTATATTTCCAGTTTACATTGTGCAAAAAAATTTTGTGTCAGAACAAACACCAAAGACTGCGTAGAAAAATCAAGTGACAAAAGGATGACCTGGGGAATAAAATAACTAACAAATTTAGTTTTGAGCTCAAACATGCTTGAGTCAGAGTATCCAAAACAGTGCAGGGTATAATAATAATTTTTTAAAGTAAATTTGAGAAAGATAAATCCTCTAGGTTAATAAGCATTATTTTTAAGAAAAAAGGATTTCCAATTCTCCATAAAACCTTAAATTTTTGAGAAAAAAATGACCTGGCTCTCAAGAGACCAGATTAATTTGTGGCTTTGCCAAACCAGTAGATTAGTTTGGCAGATGTCACTATGCTAACTTCAGAATCAGTAATTTTACCTGCCAAATGGTAGTTAAGTGACAAATTCAAGAACATCTTTTTTTTTTTAAGAACATCTTTTTTTTGTTTGTTTTTTTGACTCACCTCAGCATCCCCAGTGCCTAGCATTGGGTCATAAAAATGGGAGGAACATCATAAATGTCATTTAATGAATAAACATGAATAACTCATATCACTGAATTGTGAAAATTTAAAAGATACATATAAATCACTTTGAAAAAATCTTTAAATAAATTAACATGATTTCTGACTAAGAACATCTAATCCTATGTGTCATTGTAGTGTGCTATAGGGAAAACATCTTTTAATCATTTTATGTTTGTAACAATGTAAAATGGCATCAAAGGATATCTCACAGTTTGCATTTGAAATGCTCTAATCATCCTATTATGCTAAATACATAAAGAATTTGCAATTGCAATGGAAACATTAAAGAGCCTTCTTTAAAAGCAAAAACAAAACAATATATATACATATGTATATGTATATATATGCCATCTTCTACACCTCTCTCACAGAAGAGTGTTTTTTATGAAATGTGTTCCTACTTTTCAAAGTTCAAAACTACATCATACCATTAGAAGCATCTTTAGAGAAAATTTCAAGTGTCATTACAATATCTGAAAGCTTTTTCTGGAGGCACATGGATTGTAAGACAGGCTGTTTACTTACTTGAGTGGAGTGGGCTTTGATAGAATGGGGTAGGCATCATACTCCTTAATATTGTATGAGTTTCCTCTGGTGTGACATTCTGAAGTGAGGGTAGTGGAATTGAGAGGATGGAAGGCTGACAGTGGCAAATGGGTTGTGTGATATGAAGAGGCAACCTGGTTTCAACAGAAGCACTAAACTCTTCATTTTCTCTTACAGGATATGAATGATTACCCTCCAGTATTTAGTAAACGAATCTACAAAGGAATGGTTGCTCCCGATGCTGTCAAGGGTACACCGATAACGACTGTTTATGCTGAAGATGCAGACCCTCCTGTAAGTTGAAGACACTGATTAATACTCTGAACTAAAGGGAGAAAATTTTAACACTTATAAATGACCCAGTTCCCAAGACAGCACAATGAATCTGTGTGTTCCACTCTATACACTCTTTCACATTTGATGCACTCTTGCCTGTTGCACACAGAGGTACAGACCATATTTCAAGTGATTATTATTGAACTTAGATAATCACTGTAATTCAATATTTAATATTTGTCAGTTTATCTAATACTAATGATAAATATGTAATATAGAAAGAATTATCTACATTTGCAATAAGTATAACGCAGTTTCTTTATTTGGAACATCATAAGTTTAGTTTAGCCTAGATAAATTTTATCCTTAAGTGTTTTACATCTTATTTACATTTCATTAGCAAACACTAAATCAACATATAACAATATTACATTGAATGTGTTAATTTTGGTAAGCTAAAATTGTCTTGCTTTTAGAACATATTCCATAGATTCTCTTTGATGTCCTAAATTGCCTTTCAAGATAGAGGGTTTCTAGTTAAATTATAGCAGAAGTGAGGTAAATTTTCCTTCATATCATCTCTTAATGTATTGAAGATAGCATATAAAACTAATAGTACTTGTATAAAAATGCTTTCTAGAAATAACTTAGTATTTTAGGTATTAATTATTTATTCTCATAATAGTTGGATGATGAAGATTTGAATGTTTTATCTTAGGTGAACTTGTAGTATAAGTCAGTAGCTGATAAATTCTAAAAAAATGTTAAAAGTATTAAATAAAACCATTTTAGAAAAGTAAGAAAATAGAAAAAGACCTCAATTTTATAAGTGACTTAAAATTTCTGTTTTGTGTTGCTAATATAAGCAGTATTTATGTAATGCTATTTATTTAATAACATATGAATGGCAGTCATAACATTTTTCAGCTTCAGTTATGACAAGCCATATCATCTTTTGTGACTGTGAGGTCTTAAGAAATAATAATGTTAACATGAAAGCAATGACCTTTCACTCAGAAGTTCCTTTTATCAAATGTATTAAAATGTCCTTGAAATTGATTTATTGAATCTTGGGAAATATGATAGGCAAAACTTCAGAGCCTTGAACACACCAATAGAGATGGTGAATGTGAAATTGTGGTTTGTCTGTTTAAGTAAACTGTCAGAGGTACAAAATATTTTAAAATTAGGAATACAGTTCAATTCTATTCAAGATATGTGTTTTAAGCACCAGCTCCATAGTGATCACTGTGCTAACCAGGTTTTGCTGTCCAGAAACTGACAATCTCACAGGGAAAACAGAACTGCGCAAAGAAACTATAAAGCACTATGTAAATGTAGGGGAGGAAGAATTTTCCTTTCTTCCCCTCTAAGTTTTCTGGCTGATCTAATAATTAAATTGGCATAAGACAGATTAGCAAGAGGAAAACAAATTTAAATTTGTGCATACAGGAGCTCATAAAAATATAATGCTTGAAGATGTGACTAGAGCAGACAGCTTTTATCTTTTAGACCAAGTACTAATACATCTGTGAAGAACTGACAAGATGATGGGTTTGGGCTTGGTGTAGTCATTTAGTAAAGAAGTAATGAGATTTGCTTACATGGCCTTGTCGTCCTTGAATTCTCTGTCTCTGGCAGTGAGGATTTCTCATTCTCTTGGTGTAGAGAGGATACCTTTCACGTGGGAGATTTATGTCCTGCTTTCAGGGAGACAAAAGAGTAGAAGTGTCCTCCTTATACTGACTGTCTCTTAAGTAACTTTAATTCAAAATAATCAACATGCCCAAGTGACATATTTTGGGCAAAGTGCCCTGAACCCTCTCCTAAGCAAATATAGCATCTTAAAATACTTATATTTCTAAGAAATTTTCATTAGCACAGAATTCAAGATAGTGTTAAGTTTCCTGACATTAATGATGAGATTCTAAAAGTAGGCCTGCTGCTCACCTATGTGGGACAGACCTCAAAGTCTTAGTGCGGGTGGCAAAATCCTTACTTCACTTTTGTCACGTGTGACTTTGCAGTGACTTTCAGTCACTGTGCTGATGTGAAAGAAGCTGTCTTGTTCTGTTGTCTATTTTCTAAATAAGTCATATTACTTATATAAAGTATTTACATAGAAAGAAGTTCTCCTTTTCACTTCCTAAAACCTGTTTATGGAAATTTACCAGACTCAACTGCCATAGTAAAGAAGCTCTTGGGCGTGTACTCCCAATAGTATTTTTTTTAACTTTTAATATCTAATGCTGTCTTTTCAGTAGATAAAAGATGGATGCCACTTGTCCAACTGGAATACTGAGCATGTATCTTTCAGTTAGCAAATATATTATTTTATGAGACTTGTTTTTGATCCTGGAGACACTTTCAGCTATTGGCATGACTAGTATTCAGCATTGAATTTTCCATCATTGCTACAAATGGTGTCCCTTAAATTAGCATAGTTACAATTTGGCTGTATCTACAACAATCTGAAATAAAAGATAATTCCATGAATTTTTTTTAGAAAATATCGATAAAAATTATACATCTTTCAAAATGCTATGATTGATTTTCACTTTTATTATTTTATATCAGTGCCATAAATACAGAATAAGTATTTTTTGGATGAACTTGCCAAGTATTTCTATTCTGTTAGTATTATAAATATTTATTCATTAAAAGAAGATAGTTTCAGTTTCATATCTGTCTGGGCTCTTAAGTCAGTTTCACTACTTAGGGCTGTGATTAGCTATAGGTAACACTATGTTTATTTAATGATCTCTCTTCCAAACAAGAGGGTAAGGTCCTTGAGGGCAAGAATCAAAACTTAATCCAATTTGTTTTTTCCCACAGCTAACCATGTTTGGTACTTAGTAGAAACATTTATTGAATAAATAATCAGTTATTTCTATGCTCTTCACAATTGACAAAATGTGCCAGATCTTCAGAAATTTAGTTATTTGTGAACCTGGACAAATTTCTTCTCGTCTCCAGGCCCAAGTATGGCCATTTGAGGTCTGTGAGAATTAAATGAAGAAAGGCAAATATAATGCTTAGTGCTGCTTCTGCCCTCTCATATAAGTAGGTATCGTTACAATTCTGCAATGATAATTTGCGTCTCTAGAGGTTGGCAACATGCTTTTCAAGGCATCATGTTTCTTGTGAATGAAATGAGAATCACCCATTTTAAACTAGAAATAGCAACTGTAAAATCTTTTGAAGTATCAGATGGAGAAATGGGTAAGATCTTAAAGCCAGAGAGAGCATTGCTGCTGAATATAAATTAAGAATTATAAAATGCGTGTTGTGCAAGCCTAAAGTGATCCAGAGAGGAAAAAAAAGTCTTCTAGGAATTTTTTTCCCTTGAATTAAAATTGTTAGGACTTTTATTTTCTGTCTTGCTTTTGTGACAGCATTGACATCATGTAGTTCATCAGAGACGTGTATGGTGAATGACTGATTATTTTGGATATTAAAAATTGCTAACCTTTTCTTTCTGCTCGCCAGAGATTTCTCATTCCAAACTGTCACACCACAAAACTCCAAGTGTAGTGTTCATTTGCATATCTTTATTCTTTCTGAAGCTGTGGGCCAAACCACATGATACAAGAGTCTCTTTGTGGACAGGGTACATGTCTCACAGTATAGTGTCCTTCATTAGCAAGTGAACACAGAAAAATATGGATACATACATTTTGTTCATTTCCAAGAAGTTAGGAGGAGCCCACTGAGGAGCATCTTCTCATTGTTGTGTCAATTCTTTCCTTTTAATACATTTGAGGAATTTATAACATTCTTGTTTAAAGTAAATCAGTATTTAGATCATGTTTAATAGTAGTGATTTTGACAAACTTTCTTATTTGCATATAGTCATGTGAGAAATATTTATGTATTGAAGACTTCTTTTTTAGGTTTTGACATCAATATACAAAGTTAATATGCTTCATGTAAAACAGTCTTGTAGTTTTCAATAGTAACTGGCTTTAATCAGTGAGTGTTCTCACTACACTTTTATTTTTTCAGAAGGTATTTTTATAAAGGGATAATAATTGCATCTGTGAGGCAAATTCTTCCCTTCTGCTGAGATTTTGAGAGCCATATTATCCTTTCAGAGTTTAGACAAGCTACCTGAGAAATTATTTTTAAAGTGATTTCACAGGTGGCTTTAATATCCTTTTCAATCATTTGAGGACACTTTTGTTGATCTCTAGAGAGTAAAAAAGATGGTCAGGTCAGTTTTTCTTTTCTATGATGTGTGACTTAGAATGTCATCATGTCACCAAATAATGCCAGGTAATTATGGTGATCTTCTCCAAATGCTTAACCCTCCACATAATCATTCTGTTGCAATCTATTAGTAGAAATCATACAGTAAAATGAAAACAGTAACTGTCTTTATCCATGATTTGCTGCTTGCTGGCTTTGCGTGCAATAGTTAAAACTATTCACGGCTAGGAGTGTTATAAGATTGTATTTTTATCACCAGATAATATGGCTATTCTGTATCATTTTCCATTTATATCTCTACAGATCTGTTTGTCATCACTCACTACATACTGGTTGGTGCTGTTTTGCTCTATTGATTTAGGTTATTGCTAGCAATGTAGTGGAAACTCTGGTTTTAAAGATCAGTGCTTACTAACCACACTTGCTGACCCTGGAGCATGTCAGGGGAATGTACACAGCTCAGTGGGATTTTTTCCTTCACAGCAAGGCTGTAAGGGAAATAATCAAGAACTATTTTCACAATGCATGTCAGCTTGTGAAAATTGAGATGAGGTAGCCTAACCTGAGTCCCTTTGGTCTCACCTACTTAATTAGGAAAAAAACTCATACAATGAAACAGTTGGGACTTGATCTTTAGAATGACAATGGGTTATAATTAGATTTTAAGCTGTAAATGAATACAAAGGCAAAGGTTTATGAGACAGTTTATACATGATTAAAGTCTTGCTGTTGTTCTTCAGTCACTGTTTTGTCTGACACTTTGTGACCCCATAGACTGCAGCATGCAAGGCTTCCCTGTCCTTCACTAT